GGATCCCGTCAGACTTCCCGCTCTTCCAGATGCACAAATACGTGCCCTCGGCGGAGATGGAACAGGCCGAAGCCGAGATTGTTGCCGAGGGCATGATTCCAACGCCGGTGCAAGTTTTGGCTGATCCGCCTGAGGCGATAATAGTGGATTTGTCTGTTGAGGCCCTACCGGACCAGGCCCCTGACCATAATATTCCTCAAGGTCTCTTTGTTGCCGAAGTACCTCCCACTATGCCTGCTCCCGAAGCTGCTCAACCTTTCTAGGCCGATTCGCCCTCGACGGATGTTTTGGAGATGCCCGGGGCCAGATGAAAGTATTTTTCTTTTCGATTGTACTTCTCCTTTTTTTTTTTTGTAGCTCTTGGGGATGCAAAGCCCCTCTTTTTGAAATAAAGCTTTTGAGTATTTATACTTTCTTGCGTACACTTTTTTGCGTAGGATTCCTTGAACTGTCTCCAGGGCCTTGCCCTTCCAGGAGGCTTGCTCCTGTGTTTGTTTCGGGGGCAGGAGTCCTTGAACTCTGTCCCCAGGGCCTTGCCTTTCTAGGAGGCTTGCTCCTGTATTTGTTTCGGGGGCAGGAGTCCTTGAATTCTGTCCCCAGGGCCTTGCCCTTCCAGGAGGCTTGCTCCTATGTTTGTTTCAGGGGCAGGAGTCCTTGAACTCTGTCCCCAGGGTCTTGCCCTTTATCTTTGTCGTTGGCAAGCACTGAGGGAGATAATACTCAAAAATAATATTTCTTTAGATTCATCACATTCTACGGTCCCATTACAAGTTTTCCATCCATATCTTCTAATCTGTATGATCCAGCGCCTCCAATAGATATCACTTTGTAAGACCCTTCCCAGTTAGGTCCCATTTTTCCTTCTGTTGGGTCACGGGTATTGGCCGTTACCCTTCTGAGGACCAGATCGCCGATTCGAAATTCTCGCGCCTTGACCCTTTTGTTGTACAGTTGGAAAATCTTTTCCTGATACTTGGTTATTTCTCAAGGCGGCTGTCTCCCTTCTTTCTTCGACTAGATCCAAATTTAGTCCAAGTTGACGGTCATTTCCCCCTGCGTCGAAAGATTTGGTCCTTATGATCGGGAGTCCTACCTCGAGAGGTATGATTGCTTCCATTCCGTAAGCTAGGGAGTATGAGGTTTCTCCTGTCGAGGACCGAGGGGTGGTCCTGTACACCCACAAAATGTTTAATAGCTCATCTGCCCATTTTCCCTTGGCTTTTTCCAACCTCTTCTTGATTCCATTGATAATTGTTTTATTGGAGGCCTCTGCCTGCCCGTTGGCTTGGGAGTAGGCAGGGGTGGAGTAGAAATTACGGATTCCGAGTTGCTCGCAGAAAGACTTGAAACGTCCGCTGGTGAATTGAATCCTGTTATCCGACACCAGTGCCCGGGGAATCCTGAATCTGATGACTATGTTCTCTCAGACGAACTTTTTAGCATCTATGTCGTGGATGTGAGTCAACGGCTCCGCCTCAACCCACTTGGTGAAATAATCTGTGATCACAATGAGTAACTTCCTGTTTCCAGGAGCCTTAGGCAGGGGTCCAACTAAATCGAGTCCCCACTGGGCGAATGGCCAAGGGCTGGTCAGGTGGTGCAAGTCCCCCGCGGGTTACCTGATTGCAGGGGAGAAATTCTGACATTGGTCGCATTTTTGGACGTATGTGCGCGCATCCCTTTGCATTCGCGGCCACCAATATCCCTGAGACATGATGTGGTGTGCCATTGATCGCCCCCCAGAGTGCCCCCCACATATTCCTTCGTGTACCTCATAGAGAAGGTCTTCCACCTTGTCCTCTTGGACGCATAATAAGTAAGGTCCTGAGAAAGACCTCCGATACAGCTTCTAATCCGGAGAGACTCAAAATCTCAGGGTCTACTCCCGTCATTTTCATTGCGTTCCAAGCGAACACGTCTGCATTTCTCCTTAGGAACTCAATCATCTCCTCTTCTTCGGCTGCGGGTATCGCGGTTCCAGCTAAGAAGTATCTTTCTTCTTCTCCCTCCGCACCTTTCGGAGGTCCTCCACCGACCGCTCAGTTGGGTGTATCCGGGGGTCATCCATTCCTGGACGCCCGGACTGTGATTGCTATTTTTTCATGATCTCTTCTGGTGCTCGCCCCTTTTCTTGGGTGAACGCCCCGGCTCTAACAACTGAATAAAAATAATTTTTTGCGGACGCTTGGTCCCCCCGGATCTCCATGATACCTTCTGGCGTGGCGAATTTTAGTTTCTGGTGATAAGTGGAGTGCACCGCTCCCAACGCATGTAGCCATGTTCATTTCATGATCACGTTGTAGGGAGAGTCCGTATCAATCACGACAAACTCGGTGTTGATGATAAAGGGACCCGTGACAACTGACAATGTGATTTTGCCTATGGGCAGGGCGAACGAGCCGTTGAATCCGATGAGGGGTGTCCTGACCTTGGTGAGGTCCTTGAGGCCAAGACCCATCCGTTTTAATATCTTAGAGTACATCACTTCTGAGGAACTTCCGGAGTCTATCAACACCCTTTTGACGTCGAATTTACCTATCTTCAGGGTTAAGACAAGGGCGTCGTTATGAGGAGTCACCACGCCCTTTAAGTTCACGTAGGAAAACGTGATGCTGGGCTCACCAGTCCTGGCCCTTTTACTAGGTGGCCCCCCATTATCCTCGGTTATCTTCCTTGTAAAAGCTACCCTCTTGAGATCGGACTCGAGTTCCTTGGACGTGGAGCGATCTAGGGGACATACGTGGATGACATCTATGACGTTGTCCGGCTCCTCGGTCTGGGCAGGGGTGTGTCTCTCTTCTGGCCTGGGCTCTATGTATTCTTTCAAGTATCCGTCTCGGACCAATCTTTTCAAGAACGATTTGTATACCCTGCAGCTTTCGGTGCGATGTCCGAAATCCCCATGATAGGAACACCTAACCTTTTGATCACGGGTGGAGTGATCGCTCTGCATCCTAGGCGGCCACTTGAAAAACGGCTCATGCTTGATCTTATGGAGCAACTTGAAGATGAGTTCCTTGAACATAGTGTGAACTCCTTTGGACGACCCCCCTGGAGGGGGTAGCAGTCCATTTCGGGGAGTGTCCTCCCGCTCCCACTCTTTTCTCTTAGATTGGAGGGTTCGGCCTTTGCTGCTTCCCATCTCGTCCTCGATCCTTGAGTATTTGTTTATCTGAGCCATCAGCTCGCCCATATTCGAGGGAGTCTTCTTGGTTAGGGATCGGTATAGGTCCGTGTCCCTTGCCAAGCCGAGCCTGAAAGACGCCGCTGCCATGACTTCCGAGCAACCTTCTACCTCATTGACCTCTTCCCAGTACCGGATGGCATACTGGCGAAGGGTCTCGGATTCCCTACGTCTGAGCGTTAGCAATGATCCAACGTCTTTAGGCCGTTTACTCCCCATAATGAATCGAGCCAGGAACTGCTTCTTCAATTCCTTCCACGATCCAATGCTGTTGGGGGGAAGCACCTCGAACCACTTCATCGCAGAGTCCCCCAAACTCATAGGAAACACTCAACAGAGGAACCGTTGGTCTGAATGATAGAGGGACATCATCTGCTTGTATTGCCTGAGATGGGCTTCGGGATCGGACCGCCCGTCATAAGTTTTGAACCTTGGCACGACGAACTTTCTTGAAACCTCCATCTCTCCGATCTCCCTGGTAAAGGGTGTTTGTATGACCTCGTCTTCGACCTCATCCTGGACAGCCTTACTCTTTCTCCTGGATTCCAACCGGGCTCTGAGATCAATTTCCTCCCTGACGGGATGTCTTCTGAAGTCCTTGAGTTCATCAATAGGCCCCCCATTTCCTGGGCGCCGTGTGGATAGGGTAGAATCCTCCTCGGACTCATCTCCCTTCCTCCGTCTAGACAATCCTCGTCGGAGGTCGTCCAGGGCTAATGGTCTTGCCTTCCTTGAATGGTCGTTAGGAGGGTGCTCGTTGGCTCTCGGTCGCTTTGGGGCCCTGGAGCTTTCTGCCTTGTTTAGATGATTCCTTAGATCCTTCGTTTCCGCCTCCCGGGTGGGGAGCCCACGAGAAAGGAATGAGTCCCTCGACCCTTCGCCGGAGGCGGCAAATTCGTTGAGCCAGCTTAGGACGTTTACATTGTCCTTTTCCAGCTGTCGTAACCTATCGCCAAACTTTTCTTCGATCACCTCCGCCAAGTGACGAGCCAAGGGGGCTGATCCTCCTGACCTGATTCCCATACTGGTTTGAGGGGTAACCCCTCTTGACTGAGTAGAGGCATTCTTATTCCCATCAGTGTGATCCCTCCCTCCATGGTGATAGGGAGCTTGTAATTCGAGACTTCTTTGGTTGGGACCTTTCCCTTTTTGTCGAGTGTTCACCATGGTCACTGTTCTTTATAGAGAAAAAACTAGGAAAATTAGTCGTTTTCCACAGACGGCGCCAGATTGTGCGTGCTGGATCTTGCACAATATAAATACGAGAACAGATCTCTCCCTTGGTGAACTCGAGTGAGTCAGTCGAGTGGTCAACCCCCGCTACTTGGAACAGCCTGTGAGGTCCGGTGGTAACCTGGAACGGTAATGGGAAACCCTCGTGAATCAACGGAACGATCCAGTAAGGCTGAAGAAAGGTTCTTGGAACGAAGAAGAACAAGTTAAAAGGGCGCCAGAGTGTTTTCGGGCGTATCCCCTCCGACGATCAAGTCAGTTTTTGAGAGAAAGGAAGAAAAAAACACTGAGTATATTTGTAGCAAAGGTTTCACCTTTTTTGTCTTGCCTTTTTTGAGGAGTATTTATACCTCAAATACTCATGATTGTTGTCAGTGTGGTCAGTAGGTGATCATTAGATACAGGCAACGTGCGCACTGATTCCTACGAGGAATGTCTTCTCTTTTAACTGCTCGGGATCCCGAGCAATCAAGACTTTGTCATCGGCCTCCCGACGGTTCAATGAACTTCTCTCGGCAAGGATGTAATAAATGTCCAGCCTTAGAGACATTTATTGCCTTTCACTTCCGATCCTTACCGCATTGAATGCAGTCTCATCAAGGGAATGATGTAATTAAATGCTTGCTTTTCCAAGTCGTGTGTCAGCAAGGGCATGCGGTCTTTCTGTCTCTGATGTGCCACAATATGCCACGCGTCCATTCCCCGTTGGCTGTGGCCCTTGCCTTCCTGTGCCTTCTGACACCAATTGTGTAAGACGAGATCATGATAGCTAACCTAGCCTAGCCTAGGCTAGTGACCTGTACATCAATAGCCTCTGTAGGAGCAGAGAATGCCATCCTAGATGGAGGTACATCTCGGTACCGAGGGGGATTGGTACATCTCGGAGCCGGGGGGAGGTGTATAAAGCGACCGATGTACCCATATCAGACCGAGGGATACGTGTCGGTTCGTAAACGTACTGGATGCCAGTTGATCCCTATGACAAAAGTACCTCGGGGGAGAGGGACTTTGTGAGCCGATGGTACGTGATCTCAGTAATAGGTTTTTAGTGACACTGAGAACACGTGTTTTCATCTTGGAGTATTTCGGAAATGTCCTATCACAGGTTTTACTGGTTTGAGAGTATTTCGTAGTATCAAATACTTTAAAAAATTGGTGTACTAAGATTTTTGTGATTCTAACCTCTTTATTTGATTGATGTAGGAGGATTCATGGTAACCTGGGATCAGAACAGATGTTAATGGAACGGCAAGAGATGGATCAACGAGCAGCTGCCAACGCGAACAAGGAAACAGTAAATCAGGAGGCTGTTAGCCTATTACAGAATGAAATTAGAAATGTTGCCAATACTTGGCCATTTCTTTCTCCGGAAATGCAGAGGACTCTAGTACAGCATAGACTCGAATGTAAAGCTATGGTTCTCAGAAGGGCACTTGTTAGTACTAAATCAAGTAATCTCTGAAGGAGGAACTAAAATGGCCAACCGTCTGGGCATAGCTGTCTGAACAATCCTGCATCATCTGTGCTTGTAACTAGTTGTTAAAACCCGGGAAGCTAGTAAGAACTTGTAGGATATCGTTAGGGCCTTTATGTTGAGTTTACTCATAACTATGTTTTGCAGGTACTATCGTAATCCTGTGTAATATAAACTCGTGTTGTAAGTTGTGTTCAATATTTTATTTTAGAACTACGGAGCTTTGTGTACATTGCCCAAGTACAATCATGTGTGACTGTACTAGTCAATATGGCGACAAATAGAAGAGGCTAGGAGGGCCCCCTCCCCCAACCCCCCAACCCCCCCACCCCCAAGTAGACGGTCAATGTAACCAACCAATTCCCTTAGTTCAGGAACAATCAGCTCTTCCATTCAGAGCAAAATCCACCAAAGAAAAAACTTGTCACCCCCAGGGCTTTTTCAATTTTCTTTTTCTTTCTTTTGAGAGTGGGGTAGGACTTCTATATATATTGCTAAAGGATTCCACTTGGGAAACATGGAGAAGTAGGTTAACACAGAAATAATTCAAGGATGAGAGTTAGGTTGACCACTTTAATATGTTTTGTTTGGTACCATAGTAAGATGGAAGAATTGGAAGAATAGACAGGATGAAAAGTTATAAGGATTGAAAATTGGAGGCATAGATAAAATATGGTAAGGAAAAGAAATAATAAGGATGAAAAAGTGGATTGATAAGTTTTTTTTTTTAACTGTTTAAAATTAATTTTTGAATTGAAAATTGAAGGGATAGATAAAATATGATAAGAAAAAAAAATAAAAAAGATAAAAAAGTGGATTGATAAGTTTTTGTTTTTAACTACTTAAAATTAATTTTTCTAAAAATAGGAGAAAAAGTTGATGAAAAATTAATTATGTTTGTTGAAATATATGCTATTTGTAGAGGCGATCCATTAATTGGGGTCTAGATGAAATATTTAAAGAGTTAAGTGTTTACTTAGTTTGGCATATGGGTCGTGTTTTCTTTTAAATGTAATAACTTTGATTAATGTAATCATGTTTTCTTGAAAGAGTTAAAGTCATTGACACTAAAATTATGTTCTCTTTCAAGTTTAGTGGTGGCATTGTTACAGAATTCAAGTTTCTCTTAGATAGTGCATTGAACACCAGAATCATGCTTTCAATAAAATTTAGTGCAATTGATGTGTAATAATGTTTTCTTGTACAGTTGTCGTCTTTTCTTACCCAAGAATTGAGTGCACGGTATAGTTGAATCATGTTTTGTCTCAAGTTTAAGCATTTGACGCATGATTCTTCTTTTTCTGCCAATATTATAGTGCATGTTGATGTCCTAATCATGTTTTGTTTAAGAACTAGGGTCCTAGACATCAAAATCTTGTTTTCTCCAATAATTAGTGTCATTAACACTCGAATTATGTTTTCTTTAAGGCTAGAAACCATGTTTTTCTTCGGAATTAGTGCATTGCACACTTGTGTGTTTCACACCCGAATAGTGTGAAATATTTACCCAATAAAATGAAATCAAGTTTTCCCTTAGAATAAGAGTGTTTCACAATAGAATGAGATTCTCCTTAAAGGTTTTTATTTTTTGATAACAAAATTGACAACAGATAAGATTTTATCACTTTATAATTAAAAATACTTTTTTCAAGTAGAATAAGCTATTAATGACATTTTTTTTATAATATTTAATAAGTAATGGAGGCATTTGAAAAAGAATTTAATTGTTTAATATATTATTTCTTATGGTTTCTAATCCTAAAAATAAATTAATCTACAAAATAAGTTATGCTTTAAAAAAATTTCAAGGTGAAGGGCATATTTTTTTTCAAAACTTTCATCACATAAATAATTTAATTTTTCAAAACAAAATTAAGAGTCAAAAACTTTTTTTCTATTTTTAATGCCAATTCAGTAACTCTAAGTGTTGCTTCGGCAAATCTTATAGTAAATTCACCATAAGCTGTTGGAATCCAGGCCATTTTGTCCTCACATGGAAATGAGGGAAGCTGAAGCTTGAGGATGCCTTGCATAGTGCATTGATCAAAAAGAAATGCTAGGCGGTTTAAGTTCCAGGAAGTTCCATCCGGATTTTATCAATTCTGCCACGGTGATGGGGAGGGACTCTACTTCTATAAGGATGACCTTGAAATGAGGGAGATTGTTAGGAAGTTGTCAGTACAGTCATACAATTACAACTGAAGTAGTAACTATAAAAAATGAGAATTTTGTAAAAAGATAACAAAAGGATTTACAATAACTTCTCTCTAACAAAGAAAAGACTATGAGTATTTAGGAGAATCCTCACTCTTTCTCTCAAACACTCTCTCTTGTTCTCTCTCTTTATTTCTTCTCTATCTTTATTTCTTCTCTAAATGGGACACCCAATGACTCAAAACACTTTTAGAATTTAAAGGACACTCCTATCATGTACCTAGACAAGTACACAACTCTAGATAATAAATAGATTCATAAATGACTATTAGATTCCATACATGAATGTCCCTTAGACTCCATACATGAATGTTACTAATGACTCCATACATGAATACATGTACCAAACCACTTAATTTAAGTTGTTACTTCTTTGACCAAAATGACTTTATTGACAACATTTCTCCCACTTAAAGTCACTTTTGCAATCATTCTATCCTTTCTACTTGTCATTTCCATGTCGCTTATATCTCTGCCAGGCCAATAGAGGATCGGCACCGCATGAACTTGTCATTGTTGATCGGCTTTGTTAGAACATCTGCTAGGTTGTCTTTAGTATGAATTTTCTGTAAATCCACACTTCCTTCTTCCACCTTCTCACGAACGAAGTGATATTGAACTCATATGTGCTTTGTTTTCGAGTGAAATGCTGGATTCTTTGCTAAGTGCAAAGCGCTCTGACTATCACAAAACAGAGCAATCTTCTCTTGTTTGTATCCGAGCTCCTCCAATAGCATTTGCAAACCAGATGACCTCTTTGCTAGCCTATGTAGCTGCAATGTATTCTGCTTCCGTCGTTGAAGTGGCCACGATAGATTGCAGTTGCGAAACCCAGCTTACAGCTCCTCCAGCAAAAGTAAACACATAACCTGTGGTGGACTTGCTCTTGTCAAAATCACCTGCATAATTTGAATCAACATATCCTCTGATAGTAAAGTTTGATCCTCCATAACATAATGCAACATTTGAGGTACCCTTGATATATCTTAGGATCCTTTTTACAGTGTTCCAATGCTCTTTACCAGGATTCACCATGTATCGACTAACCGCTCCCACTGCTTGTGCAATGTCTGGTCTTGTGCAAACCATAGCAAACATTAAGCTACCCACTGCTGATGCATATGGTACTCAAGACATTTCCTTCCTCTCTGCTTCATTGATAGGACTCATACTTGAGGATTACTTAAAATTAATAGGAAGAGGGGTAGAAATTGGCTTACAATCTTGCATGTTGAAGCGTCGCAAAATTTTCTTCAAATAGTTCTTCGGAGAAAGACAAATCTTCCTATTATGTCTGTCTCAGTAAATTTGCATCCCTAGAATCTTGTTTGCTGGTCCCAAGTCCTTCATTTCAAATTCCCTAGCCAATTGAGCCTTTAAGTCTTTGATACGATCTTTGTTGGGGCCTGCTACCAACATGTCGTCAACATACAATAGCAAAATAATGAAATCACCATCATCAAATCTCTTATAGTAAGCACAAGGATCTGAACTGAGTCTGTTGAATCCAAGGCTCATGATGAAGGAATCAAATCTCTTATATCAACACCTCAGCGCCTATTTGAGACCGTACAGAGATTTGTTCAACCTACAAACCAAGTTCTCTTTTCCTTTTTCTTCAGAACCTCCTGGTTGGAGCTTGTAGATTTCTTCTTCAAGTTCACCATAAAGAAATGCAGTTTTCACATCCAACTACTCTAAGCACAAGTCAAATGTAGCACACAACGCCATAAGTTGAACGAGAAAATATCTCGTTGAAGTCAATGCTTTCTTTTTGAGCGAATCCTTTCACCACCAATGTAGCACAATACCGCTCCACTTGGTCATTGCCATCTCGTTTGATCTTGTAGACCCATTTGTTCCCGTAGTGGAACAAGATCCTATGTCTTGTTTTTATGGAGAGCTTCAATTTCTTCATGCATTGCTGCAATCCACAAGGAAGCTTCTTGGCTTTTTGTAGCCTCATGGAAATTTGATAGCTCTCCATCCTCTGTTAGTAGATAGTATGCAATATTTCCCTCCATAATTTATTCTGAGTGCCAAGCTGGTTTTCTCCTCTCCGGAGTTGACTGCCGAACTTGTGGAGTTGCAAACTCAGCTTGTTCTTGTTCTTCGTGCTCTACTGCTCCTTTAGAAGAACTTGGAACTTCTTGTTCTTCAATTTGAACTGTAGTAGTCTCTGGTTTCTCTTTTGTACTGCTATCATTTTCTTTTTCTTGTACTTTATCTTCAGTAACTATCATGTCTCTACTAATTATCACCTTGTGAGATCCCACAGGCGGTACCCCTTGACTCCATCAGCATACCCTAAGAAAATACATTTTTTGGATTTTGGATCCGGCTTTGATGTTTCTTGGGCATTGTACATAACATATACAGGACTTCCAAATGTATGTAAGCGAGAATAATCAACTAGCTTACCAGTCCACATCTCCATTGGTAACTTTAGATCATTTGCGGTTGATGGTGACCTATTGATCACATAACATGTAGTCTTGACTGCTTCTACTCAAAATGACTTGGCCATCCTTGCAGTTCTCAACATTGCTCTTGTTCGTTCTAACAAGGTTCTATTGATCCGCTCTGCTACTCCATTTTGTTGTGGAGTGTACACCACCGTGAACTGCCTCTTGATACCTTCTTGTTGACAGAAGCTTTCAAATTCATCACTGGTATATTCTCCTCCATTGTCTATCCTCAAGCACTTGATCTTCTTTTCGGATTCAAGTTCCACCCACACTTTGAATATTTTGAAAACTGAAAATACGTTTGCCTTCCTCTTAATTGGATACACCCAACATCTCTTGGACTAATCATCAACAAAAGACAAATTATCTTTCACCTCCTAGGGACATAACTGGTGCTTGCCAAACATCGGAATGGATCAGTTCTAAGATAGCTTCGCTTCTAGTACTAGAACTGCTGAACTTTAATATGTGCTGCTTACTAGTAACACAATGCTCACAAAAGGGTAATGACACCTTTTTGAGTCCTGGAAGAAGCTTTTGTTCAGTGAGAA